ATGGTCTCACGCACACAACGCTCTGATCAAACACAAACCAACCGGGCCAGGGCGACGCGGGGCGGGGCGCCAGGGAGGCGTGCGAGGGTGCCGTGGGACGACGGGCGCGTTTGTGCCCGATGGCGGCGGCTTCATGGTGTCCGCGTAGGTTGAGACGATCAAACTGTACACTTCAGACGTGTGCAGCTCTGCGTGTCAGCTATAGCTCGATAACGCTGCTTCTAAGGATTAGCAGGCAAATGACAACAGGGAAAGCAGTCCAGTCAAACAGGACAGGCGAGGGACGTGCAGTTAACACGTCCCGGCTCTTGGACGCGCACAGGGAAAACACCCGGGCCCTGGCGCGTTCACCTGGGCCACTGTGACCAAGCCCACGTCTGCGCAGCTTAAACAGCAGACGCTAGTTCTCTCTCGGGCCTGGAGGCTGGAGTCCGAGACCGAGGTGTCGCAGGGCTGGTTCCTCCCGATGTCTCTCTCCGTGGCTCGCAGACGGCCACCTTCTCCCCGAGTCCTCATGTGGTCGTCCCTCTGTGGCGTCTGTGTCCGGGTCTCTTTTTCTAAATAAGGCCCCCGGCGCCGTGGACAGGCCCACCCTGACGGCCTCCGTTTAACTTCCTCCCTCTGCAACGACCCGTCTCCAGATACAGCCGCGTTCTGGGGGACTGGGGTTAGGGCTTCAGCACATGGAGTTTTGGGGACACAGTTCGGCCCATAAAAAAATTAAGGAAAAGACAGACAGACAAGCCACAGAATCAGAAATACAATCGAGCAGCCCGTTTATGAAAACCTGCGAATACTTGTAACCGGACAAGCACAAATGCAACGCGCCGCCACGTTTTACCGCCACATTTTGAGGGGTTCGTAGGAACGTCGGTCACCGTTCCTGCTTACTGGCACCTCCTCTGCACCAGCCCCTGGCGAGAGACGCCCAACTCTCCCCTCCAGGAGTTAGGGGTGCTGTGGGCAAGTCGGACACAGACGCCAGGAGCCCTGGGGGGAACACGCAGGGCTCGAGGGACAGTTAGGAGCTGGCCAGAGGGGACAGCTTGGAAGTGTTCTCTCCAGACCCTGCCTGCGCTGCAGGCCTTGAGGTGGACGACAAAGACACCTCCCTGCATCCAGCACCCGACGGCGGCCAGGCGACCTCAGCTCTCGAGCCGTGGCTTGCTCCCATCCCTACAGCTGCTACGCGTCCCTCCAAGCCAGCAGAGATCACCAGCCACGCGCGTGACATTCTCCAGCACCTTCCAACTGGAAGGGGACACCCAGGCCGGGACAGGCTGGGGGAGGCAGAGTGGTGTTATCAGGGAACAGGGAGGCTTCTTGCTGCCCGACAGGCCCTCCTGCTCCCTCCATCCCTCTCCCCTCCGGCCCTCTCGCTCCGGCAGCAGAGCCCAGCTGGTCTGTGGGCACCTCCCTGCCCAGCGCCCTGCTACGGGAGCCCCTTCTCAATCCCGGTTCCCCCCACTCCTGCCCTCATGGGAACCCCCCCTCGCTCAGATGCCATAAGAGGGGTGGCAGAGGGGAGGGCACCCTCCCTGGGCAGCAAGGGCCTTGGAGGGCTTCAGCCTGTGACCTTCTTGCCGTCCTGCAACACACAGGCTTGAGCGGCTGCAGGGCCTTTGCACGTGCTGTCTCCTCACGCTTGGCACACGATTCTTCGCGGGGAGGCGTCTCTGACCACCTATTTTAGATTGCAGCCGCACCCCCACCTCCCGACACCCTTCCTCAGATTATTTTCCATCTTTTCAAAGCATGTGACTCCACGGGCATCCAAGATATCCCACATTTATTGGGGTACCGTCTGTATCCCTCACAGAGACAAGGGATCTGTCGACTTGGCTCTTCGTGCTCAGCCACCAACCCCCAGGAGGAGGCTGCCGCACACAGAAAACACTGGGCATCCAGTATTCTCTCCGGCAACCGTAGCGATGCTGTTGCTCTCGAGAAAGGGTCCCCACTCAATGCTGGCAGAACGAATGAATGGTGTGTGAATGAATGAATGAATGAGTGCACTGTGCACTTCCCCCAACCTTCTCGCCCGTTCCTTGCCTGCAGCCCTTTCCCAGGTGATATCGTCCCTCTCCTTAAAACCCTTCGGGGCCCCCACTCACCGGCCGGACCCGCAGGGCTCCGCCCGTGAGCTGCCCTCCCCGGAGGGCTCCCGCGAGGGACCGAGCGTAGAAACGGAGGAGCACGCCCCCACACGCTGGCGAGAAGGTCTGAAACCCAGAACCGCGACACCACCAACACGCGGAGCGGCAGGAATCTCAGCACCGCCGGTGGGAACGCAGTGGCGCAGGCACTTGGGAAGACAGTGTGGCCGTTTCTTACAAAAGTAAATACGCTCTTACCTATGACCTCGCGACGCGCCCCCAGGTCTTATTCCAAACGAGGGGGAAACGTGTCCACACCAAAACCAGCACGTAGATGTTCAGCGTAGTTTTATTCATAATTACGAAACTTGGAAGCCACCAAGATGTCCTTCAGCAGGTGAGGGGATGAACTGAGGCACACCCAGCCCGGGGAGTGTCACCCAGCCCCAGAAGGAAACGCGCTATGAAACCACGGGTGGACACAGAGGACCGCCGCACGCGTATTACCAGTCGTGAGAAACCCATCTGAGACTCCGACGCCGTGACATTCTGGAGGCGGCGAACAATGGAGACGGTGAGAAGTTGGGTGGGTGCCGGGGCGGGCAGGGAGGAGGAGGTGGGCCCAGTGGGCTTTTGGGCAGTGCCTTCTTCGGCACGGTCCGGCAGTGGTGGGCGCAGGGCGGCACGCAGGCGCGAACCCTCGTGCGCTCTGGACTTCAGTCCGTAGCAACGTAGCGCCGTTCACCAGCTGTAACAGATGGCTCCGCACAGGGCAAAATGGTGCCAGGGCACGCTGGGCAGACGGTTCTGCGGGAACCCCTCGTTTCTGCACAACTTCTCTGTAAACCTCAAATCGCTCTAAAAAATTAATCTATTAAAAAAAAGAAAAAAACAAAAATTATTAGTTGTTTAGCTGAACTTTAAATTGAACTGGGCATCCAGTGTTTTCTCCGGCAACCGTAGCAACGCCGTTGCTCTCGAGAAAGGGGCAAGCAGAGAAGTAACGGGATTTGTGTCTGATGACAGCCGGGAAGGAGGGAGAGAGGACCCCAGTGGTCCCCCAGGCATCTCAGAGCCCCTCGCGGGCGGCGGGGAGTCTTGGCTCTGGGCTCAGAAATTCCAGGCCTCCCCCAGAGGCTGCAGGTGTGGCTGATGCAAGAAGTGGGGGCTGAGCACGGGGGTCTGCCCTCGAGACCCCGTGCCTGCCACGCCCTCGCGGACGCCCAGGCCCGGCACCCACTGATTTGAGCAGCGCCCACCAACCCAAACACAGTCCAGCACCTGCCACCCACCTCTCCCGTGAGCCCCGCACTACTTTGAACCCAACTTTTAGCCACATAGCTAGCTGAGCACGTGTCGCAGTTTTGTTAGCATGTGGCCACCAACAGAATCAGCACTTTATAAAAAGAAAAGGGAAGCCTCTGGCCCCCTTGGCCCAGCTCCATCCTTGCACCCTCTCCCCTGCAGCTCGTCTCCTTGGGTGCGGCCAAGGCCACCCGTGGCCGGGCAAGGGCCTGTCCATTCACTAGACACTGGGTCCCTGGCACGGTGGCCAAGTGCAGCTCAGGCCCCCACTGGCACGGACCCTGCACCTGGAGCCTGGACTTCCTCCGACCCCCCCAGGCCGGGACAGTAGCAGAGGGCAGCTGTCACGCCTCCCCACCCCCAGTGCCCCTGCCTTAGGTGCCTCTGTCCTAGATAAACCCACCTAAGTCACTCCCACCATCAAACACACCAGTCCGGAGGGAGATCCAGCCCCCACCCCATGCCCACTCCTGGAAGGTCCCCGTGTCCTTCCCTATGCCTGTTCTCTGCTCCCAGCTCCCAGCCTGGCACCCACCAGCGCCAGCTTCCACACCCGCCTGGTGGGCCCCAGTGTCCCCCGCCCCACCTGGAGGTCCAGTATCCCTGCGCCCAGGCCTGCTTCCCCCGGGGTCCCTGCTGCCTTGCTTCTTGCTGGACACCCACTCGGCCCTCCCTGCTCTGAAGAACATGTAGGGCCTGGGGTGCAAAGAGGAATCAGCGGTCTGGGGACAGGGGCAGCTGAAGACACTGAGGGGTGGCCCAGGCCAGTGGCAGAGACAGGAAGCTGAGAGAGTGGGGCCAGGGCCGGGGGAGGGAGGCTGCTGCCCTGTTCTGTCCGAGGTGCAGCAGGAGCTCCTGGTCAGCACAGCAGCCAGCCAGAGGAGGGGGGAGTGTAGCCCCAACACTGAGGCTCCCTGAGGCCCCCCGCGAGGGCGGTGCCAGAGGCTGGAGGGGCCCAGCGGGGGCGGGGGTGGACCTCGAGGCCTGGGGAGCCCCACAGCCTCGGAGGTGTGGCTGGGGGCGCAGGTGGGGGTGGCAAGCTGGGCTGGCCAGAAGGGTGTGAAGGGGGCCCTGGGGTTCAGAACCCGGGAGGGGAAACAGCCAGGTGGAGACAGGGGCCTCGGACTGGACAGGGACAGCAGCCCCCCTTGCCCAGCCCCAGCCTCCGCCCTGGGCCGCCCTCAGCGGCAAGGCTGGAGATGCGGGCCAGGCTGGACCGCGTTGTCACGGGCACGAGGGCCTGGGCGGGACCCAGACACACAGCGCGGGTGGGGCCGGGGTGGGCTGCTGCGGAGGGAGGCGTTTGGGACTTGGGGGCGGAGCCGCGGGGAGTGCGGGGCGGGGCCCTTGCGACCCGGCGGCCGCGTTGCGGGGCGGGGCGGGGCGCGAGCGGCGGGAGCCCCGTGCGGGAGTGAGGGGAGGGCGGTGCGGTGCTGCGGGGGCTGGGAGTGCAGCGTGTGGGGCTTCGCAGGGCGGGGCGAGGGCGGTGTGTGGAGCGGGGCGGGGTGGCAGGGGCGGGGCGGGGCGCCAGGTGTGCGGGTGCGGGGCGCCAGGTGTGCGGTGCGGGCGGCGGCGCGGGCGCGCGGCCTCCGGAAGCGAGGGGGCGCTGTGCCAGCCGGCGGCCGTGCGGGGCGCGCGCGCTGCTCCTTCCGCCGCGCGCGCTCCGGAAGCGCGTCGCCGCTATGGCGCGGAACGTGCTGTGAGTAGGGGTCGCCGCCCGGCCGCCGGGGGCCCCGAGTGTCACAAGCAGACGGCCCCACACGGGGGGTGGGGGGGCAGGGGCCCCGCTCAGCGCTCGGCGTGACCCCGCAGGGGCCGGGCGCCCGGGCGGTTTGGGCCCCACGCGCCCTTGGCATCGGCGTCCGGCTCCCCCGGGGCCCGGTCCTGCCCGACTTCTTGCCCAGAGTTTAAGCAAGAAGGAATGACTCGCCCAATGAGTGAAGGGATGTTGCTCCCTCGTGGGTTTGGGGGACAGTAATGCGCGTTCGCACGTGACGGTGGAGGCAGTGGCCTGGGGCTGCACACGGCTGGGCAGAGGAGAGCGGGCCGCGGGTGGCCCGGCGGACGCGGCCCCTCAGCAGACAGACACCGGGTGGGTGCCGTGGCCGGGGGCAGGTGCAGAACCGCGGGCCCAGGTCCACTCACGTGCTCCCCGTTTGCCAAGGTGGCCTTGGAGGGGGAGCTGACGGGACTTGCCGTGGGCGGGGGCGCAGGAGAGGGTGGGATCCCGGGTGAGTCACCCGCAGGGCGGTGGGGAGGCCGGCGGTGGCAGCCAGCCAGGTTTTTGTGTTTTGAGGAGGGAGGAGAAATTAGGAGTCCACTTGAGAGATGTCAGGTTTGAGGTGCTTACGAAATGCCCGGGGGAGCGGACAGGGGGCTCACTGGGGAGAGGGCTGGGCCTGAGGGGGTGCACGACTCCAGTGGCACGGGGGTCTCAGGCCACCGGAGAGCCGGGAGCGTGTGTTCTGGGGCTCAGGAGAAGCTGTCAGCCTTGTAGGTTGTTCCAGATCTGCTGCAGGCCTCGGGCCTCAGATGGCCTGGGGATGGGGCCCGATGTCAGCGTGGGGTGAACACGGACGTGGTCGGGGGAGCCTGGCGCCCTCCTGCCGCAGCTGCTCACTCGGCCTTCCTCAGGCAGCCTCTGCCCCAGGCCCCCAGCCACGTGCGCCCCTCGGGCCCAAACCTGGAGGTTTGAAGATTCGGGGGTCCGTGACCCACTGTGCCCCCTTCTCCACTGATACGGAATGGGTCCCTCACACTTTGCCTGCCCACCTGCAGTGCTACACTTGTTCACCAGGGGGAATGTGTGAACCCCTTGGGTGGCCGTGGGTCGGCTTGAACCTGTAGGTAAAACGAGGCAGGCCCCTGTAGCCATGGGGCCTCTGGGCAGGCAGGCCTCCCACTCCTGGGAGCCCGCATTCCCTTCTCCACCTCCCTGCAGCTTGCACTCTGAGGTACGGAGAGGTCAAGGCCAGACCCAGAAGGTTCTGCGGGCTGGTGGCTCCTCCGCAGTGGAGAGGCTCTTGGCAGTCCAGTGCAGCGTGGGCTGCACTGCCGGCACCCCGACTCCAAGAGCCCCGCAGCTTCTGGTCCTGGGGCTCGGCCCTCTTGCCCGCCATTGCCCCTTCAGGAACGGCCACCCGGTCCTCCACCCCTTGCACCCGCCCCACCTTCCCTGGACTGAGGTCAGGGCCAGCGTGAAGTGCACCTTGAGCCCCTCTCCCATGGTGCTGGGCACACCCCAGGACCAAAGGCCACGTGCAGGGCCTCAGATTGGCACCAGAGAGCCCCACACACAGCCTCTGTGCTCTGTGCCCACCTCCACCGAGACCTACGCCTGGGCTCCCACTGACCCTGCACGCCTCCCCATCCCTGCGGCCAGCGGGGCTCTGCTAGACTGGGGGGACACTTGAGACCCTTAAGTGGAGACTCTGCTTGACTGTCACCCTGCCGGCCAGCTCGACACAGTGCCGGTCCGGGTGGTGGTGCCCCTATACCTCCACAGCTGATTTCTGGCTTCGAGGGTTTGGCGTGGGGATGTGGTGTGATCAGCTGTAGTTGGTAAACTGAGTCACAGTTTATCGAAAGCACCAACTTTGGAAGCCCAAGCCTAGGTAACCTGCATTCTCCATCCTTGGGGACCTCCCATCCTCAGGGAGGGTTTAGAACTGGCCTTTCTGTCCCATGCTGTGGCAGTGCTTTCCGGCCCCATCTCCCCTGAGCCGCAGGCGAGTGGGCAGGCCTGCGCCATGTGGGGGTCCGCTCTCCTGGGAGGGATGGGTGGCCTCAACATGTGTCTTTGAGCCTTGCTGCCAGTCGGTTTGGGGGGAACGCTCTCCAACGGCCTCTGTTTCTTGACTTGTTCATTGGCCCTTCCAGAGCCTGGCCCTGGGAGTCAACAGCCCACGCACCCCTGCATTGACACTAGGGACCAGGGCACTGGCTGCCTCCCCCGGGCAGACCCACACAATCTATGGGGACCTCTGTGTCCTTGGGGTGGGCCCTGCAGGGTCAGCCTCTCTGGGACTGCCGTGTCCTAAGTGTGCAATGTGGACCCGAATCTCTCCTGGGCAGGTACCCTCTGTACCAGCTGGGCGGCCCACAGCTGCGGGTGTTCCGAACCAACTTCTTCATTCAGCTGGTGCGGCCTGGCACGGCCCAGCCCGAAGACACGGTGCAGTTCCGGATCCCCCTGCAGTAAGTCCAGAAGGAATTCAGGCTGGGGGCGGCCATGGGGCTTTGGGTCCTGGTGTGTTACCTAACTGAGCTTCCAAGTTGGGGTGCTTCCCGCTGTGAGAACACCTCAGGCAGCTCTGCCGGGGAGTACCGACAGCTCCTGGTGTGTGCAGAGCCCTGAGCGAGGGCGGGTGCGCGCTTGGCAGGCGGCCTGCGCTGCTCGCCTGGGAGAGCAGATCGAGAGCCCAAGGCTTGGCCTTGCTTCCCTGCTCGGTTTTCTGCTGAATCCTTGACCTGGCCCTTTTCCTGGGAGAGGGTCCCAGGAGGCTGGGGGGAGCGTGCTGTGATTTCCAGAACTGCTCAGAGTGGCTTCCTAGGTGCTAGTCCTCGAGGTCCTTGCCTTGGACCACCAGGTGCGATGTGCCTCTCACCTTTAGGGAGACGCACAGTGCCATGACCTAAATTGGGGTGCTGCTCTGAAGTCTCGATCACAGGCCCCCAGCTCAGGATTAAGGGGGGACAGTCCTAGACCGTGGTGGCGGCAGCATTTGCCTCTGTGGAAGCTGAGGCTGGGCTCCGTGCAGCCTTTGCAGACGGGGCAGGGTGTGCCTAGAACCCGAGTCTACCGCGACTGTGAAGTTTCTGCAGAAAGGGAACGTGGCCTTGACCCACTGAATCCTGGGTGGTCCTCCGCCAGCGGTGCTGGCCTTTCTGGGGTGCGCCTGGCCCCACCCAGTGCATTGGACAGGGGTGCACCTCCCCGCGCCTGCGCTGCAGCCTCTGTTCAGGGTCTCTCCTGGGGCGGCGACGTGCCTGGCGCGGCGACGTGCCTGGCGCGGCTGCTCTTCATCATGGCCTGGTTCAAGCTCCTCTTTTTTCTCCTTCACCTCCAGGATGACCAGGGTGGACCTGAAGAATTATCTCGAGAGCATTTACAACGTGCCCGTGGCCGCCGTGCGGACGCGCGTGCAGCACGGTGAGTGGGCTGCTGCCTGCGCCCCCTGTCTTGCAGACCCCTGCACGGACTCAAACCCATGTGGCCAAGCCGGATGGCTGCTCGATGGGGGTCTCGCTCTGACTCTGCACGTGGGGAAACTGAGGCACAGGGGCGGGGGGGGGGTGACTTGCTGGGCTCACACAGTGCTTACGTGGTAGAGCCGGGAGCAGAACTCAGGTGGGCTGGCCACCAGCTGGGCTCTGGGCACTGCCCCCAGCCTGCTGCGTGTCCACCTCCCCGTCGGCCCTCAGGGTGGGTCCCGCTGCGGGGCTCGGCAGCAGGGTGCTCTCTCTGTCCCCAAACCTCTTTCTCCTTCCCCTGCTGGTGCCTGAGTTCTGTCCCCGTTGTGAGCCTGCTGCGCCCGGCCACTTGAGTGCAGTGCCCACCCCCCTCAGATTGCCTCTGTGAGTTTTTTAAGACACATTTGCGTTTTTAACGGAGCAAAGAGGTTCATCTTGGAGGATGTAAGTGGTTAATTTGGAAGAGTCACTGTTAGTGTTTGACGTGCTCTAATTTGTGGAGTACTAGCTAATCTTGCGTTTTGCCTTTTTCTAGAAAGTGGGTTCCTGGGCTAATTGGACTGAATGTTTTCTGCTGAGAGCTGGCAGTGAAGGTTTTTCTTTTTTCACCCCCTTCCAACAGGCTGTAACAGGAAAAGGGATCACAGAAATGTCAGGATAAAGAAGCCAGATTACAAGGTCGCCTACGTGCAGCTGGTGAGTGAGCGCGGCCAGAACAGGCCGGGGCCTCCGAGGGGCCCCGCACAGCCGTGTCCTTGAGGGGGTGTTTGTGCCGCTGAGCTGGGGCCCAGGGAGGCTTGGGAGGCAGGATCCCAGAGTCCACAGCGCGGGGGCAGGCCCCACACAAGGTCAGGCCCGGCCATGGGCCTCGGGGGTGTCAGCGGAGCAGAGCCGGCCATTTTGTGATCTTGGAGTTTGAATGCGCCGCGGACAAAGGCAGTCCCACCCCGGGCCCGGTGGGTTTTGGCTCCGAGACAAACCAGAGTGTTGGAGCCTTGAAGGCCGCCTGCCTCCGGAGAGCCTGTCTTTGGACGGGTGCCAGGGTCGGAGGGGCAGAAGCTGCGCACGGGGGGCCTTGGGCTCCGAGCCCAGGCAGGTCTGGGGTGGCCTGGGGTCCAGCCTGAGTTCCATCCCCACACGCTGTGGGCCAGCACACCCCAGGCTCCCCGGGGTTGGCCTCTGCCAGGCTGGTCGTGTGAGCCCGTGCTTTCCGGAGTTTCCGGTCAGGGACTCTGGGGAGGAAGGGTCCCCTCACCCCACGCGGCGTGGCCTGTGTTTACTGCAACCTGGGCTGGTCCGAGCGAGACCCGCACATCCAGAGCCGCCTTTTGGGCTCTTCACCTTGAGTCCAGGGTGAACCCGGATACACTTTCTCTCTGGACCGAGAAGTCCAGTGGGCAGCGCCCTGCGGGCTGCGTCCCCTCACTCCCTCTCCAGGCAGAATCCCTCTGACCTTGGGCAGCCAGCCTGGGGTGGCAGCGCCTCTGTGGGACTCTTCCAGGGGAGACCTCCCTCGGCAGGGTCCATTAACTGGCCCCACGTTTGAAAGCCAGGCGGGGGCGGGGGGGTCCTCCAGTTCCTTCAGTTTCCGCGTGAACAGCCCCTGGAGGCGGGAGCCCGCGGTGGGGCCGCTAGATGGCAGTGGTGCTTTGGGACGACGCCTCCCAGGCCCCTGCCTGTGCTGGGAATCAGGAGACCGTTGGTTAAGAGACCGAGTTAGCTTGTCAGCTTTTCTGAAAAACAGTCACATTTGTTGTTCTAAACAGGGGCCCCCGTAATTATTTGGCCTAATATTTGCTGTGCATAAAATCAGCCAATCCAGGTGGAGCGAGCAGCCGTTGGCCTTGTAAAGGCCTCTGTGTGCTGGGTGTTGAATCGGGCCGGTCTGTCTCCGTCACGGCATGCGGGTCCACGTCCCATGTGCAGGCATTCGCCACGACTCGCTTCAGAGGCCAGCTATGGTTACAAGTGGCTTTTGAGTCATCTGAGCCCTCACATTTTCCCCCCCGGGCCCCTCCTCACTCGTGAAAACTGAACTCAGCAGCTCTTAGGTCTGGCGTCTGCAGCTGCCACCCGGCTCGTCTGTCTTCCTCTGGGAAGTCCCAGCGGCCAGAGAGCGGCAGGGCAGCTGGGAGCCCGGCGGCCCCACTGGGCACGCTCCCTCCACTCCAAAATTGAAATTCGTAATGGGTGCCCCCCTTCTGAGCCCTAGCGATCTTTGCACTGCCTGGAAACCGGCTACGGCGCTTGGTCCCCGTCCCCCACAAGGGGCCCTGGGAACTAACAGCAGCCCCCGCTCTGTCTCGCATCCGCTGAGACCCCCTCTCCAGAGCGCGTCCCTTTGGGCCCTGCTCTGGGGCGTCCAATCGCAGCCAGCATGGAAGGTCAATGAGAAAAACAGATTAAGTTATCGAATTTATTTCGAGGTAGCTGCCGTGGAAAGGCCCGGGCCCTCATGGTGGGACTCGCGCACTTTTCCTCTGACAACCTGATAAACATCTCCTTGGCCGCGAGTCCTGGGAGCGCGGCGAGCGCCCCAGTTCCCCACACAACAAAAAGAGCATTGACCGCCTGCCACAGGCGCCTGTGTACACAGAGCGCGTTTGAGTGACGGGCGCACATGGCCGCGAGGGCGGCTGCAGGACAAACTGCCGTGGGCTGGCGGGGGCACGTTCGTCCAGACGGGCTCCCCGGGCTTCCTGGAGTCGGCGCTTTTTCGCTTTCTCGTGATGTCCCCTTCCTGCCCTGTGCCCCGTCAGCTACTGCTTCCTCTCTGGAAGGAGCGAGGGCTTCACTTTTGAAAGTACGAGGTAAATTCTCTGGAAAATCGCAGTCCCTGGGAAACCACGCGCAGCGCCCGCAAGCGGTTCCGCCTCCTGGGAGAAACGACGGTTTCTCTCAGACTGTTGTGAATTGCCATCTTTGTATTTTAAAACGTCCTTTTGGGTTCCTCTTGCCTCAGCAAACTAGCAGAATCACCTTGACATATTAACCATAAATCCCCCATTCTGGGCAGTCAGCCCTGCATGTAAACTGTTGCCCTTTGGTATTTTGAAAAAGGAAAAAAAAAAAGTGTGGAGCCCCGTAAGCCAGTTCTCCTGCGGGCCGGCCCCCCACACAGGGCTGCCCCCCTCGCCCGCTCGCCCGTGCTATGTGACGGGTCTGTGAACCTCCCTCCCCGCGTGCGGGCTGCGGACTGTTTCGGACCTCGCTTGGCTGCCTGCCCACGTCCAGATTCTTTACAGGACGAGGGTCTGCGAGCGCCAGCAGCACTGCCCCGGTTTTGCTATCAGGGTTTTGCAGACGCGGACGCCGTCCGAGTCCTCCTTCACCTGTCTGGAGACAGAAGGGCGCGGCCGGGAGACCGCCGCCTCGCTAGCAAAGCAGGCTGGCACCGCACGCCGCTTCCGCCCCCAGAGCACAGGACTCCCTCCTCCCCGACGGGGTCCCGCCTGGTGCCCAGAGCCACGCTGATACTGACACATTTTGAACTTTCAGTGAAAGACGTAAAACCAGTTAATTTGCAAAGCCGGTCTTGATTTATAGACTGCTACATATGTACGTTTCTCTGTACGTTATGTGCGTTTTATTTGCCAAGCTCTGGGCCAGGAGGAGGGGGGCAGCCTTTAATGTGGGTAAAGGCCTTTAGGTATTTTGGATGGAAAAAGTTTTAGCGCGGCACCAGACGCTGTTTGTCGTTCTCTCCGCGCCGCGTTCCTGCCCCCCAGTCTGACCGGGCCGCCCCGCTTGGTGAATGGGCGCTTTGCTGGGCTGCTTTTAATGAGCCCAGGGCTGGTGCTGACACCACACCATAAAGAGACAATGTCACTGAAAAGGAGCATTGTCCCAGAGCAGTGGCTTCCCGCTGCGAGATAAAAGCTGGAGGCTGGCGGTGGCCAGGAGATGTTTATCTTCCAGGCAGGGACACTGCTCTGGGGACGCTGCCGTGAGGACGGAGGGCTGAGCGTGGAGGGTCGGGAGCTGATCTCTGAGCCGCTGACCCAGGCACGGAGTGGGAGGTGCCGTCTTAGAGCGCGTGAGCCTCCGGCTGACGGGGGTCCCCACGCTCTCCGCTGGAGCCTGTCCTCTCTCCCCCAGGCCCACGGACAGACCTTCACGTTCCCAGACCTGTTTCCTGAGAAAGAGCAGAGCCCCGAGGCTGGCTCCATTGACGAAGCCCAGAGCAAGTTCATGGCGGACGAGCAGCAGAGGCAGAGCAGCGACCCCCGGCGCGGTGGCGTCCCCGACTGGTTCAGCCTGTGACGGGCAGCAAGCAGGGACACGCGCCCCAGGCAGTGCGGCTCAAGTGGCCTGACAGCCCAAATAAAAGTCCTGCTGTGGGAGAAGAACCAGAGCTTTGTTTCCTGCTGTTCTCGGCCTCCCCGACAGCCCCTGGCTCTGCTCTCCCAGAGCCACGGCTGTACCGCGCACGCACGCACGCACGCACGCGGCCTGGTGCTGGGGGAGGCGCTGTGCCTCACGAGTGTACAGGGAGCAGGGCCTGGTGGCCTTGAGACGAGGTGGCCCTTGCCGGGGATGCAGCTGGCCTGGTGCAGCCGGGAGCTCTGTTCTGGCGGAGGAGAGACGCCAGGGAAGAGCGCTCAGGAGACGATTCTGAGTGTCCACACTTAGCGCTCGCACTCAGAGGCATTGGCGGGAGCAGGAAGGCTAGCGTGGGCGCAGAGGGGGCGGCGGGCCGTGGGGGTACCGGCGAGGAGCCCCTGTCCCGGCCGAGGGTTCGATTCGGCACCATTGGCAGAGGGGCCGGAGGGGATCCGAGGGAAGAGGTGTCTCGGGAGCATCCCAGCGTGGAGGGCGGGAGGACAGGCATAGCCGGCCGTCCCTTCAGAGCTGCGGGGAGGTGGGTGTGTGTCCTGTGTGCAGTGTCCTCCGCGCCTGCAGCCCTGAGCCTCCCGACGATTGCGCGCAGAACCCACAGCCATCTTGTGGGGGCGGCTGGGCCGTATTCTTACCACAAGGCCGGACAGGCGGCCGGGCAACCCCCACGGCCTGAACTGCATATGTAGTTTGATTTTTGGATTTCTGATATTTTTACATCGAATCCAAAGGGTTTCTGGCCCCTCCTCCCAGAACCTCCATGAAGGTGGGGTCCAGAGAGCCCCCACACCCGCCTGACCTCCACACGGTGGCCTGTGGGCTCTGTGTTTCCTTAACCCTTCCTTGGTTTCAGTGCTTTCTCCAGAAAACAGAGGGGCCCCTCCACGCTGCGTGCCGGCAGCTCCGACTTTGGAAGTTTGGCGGTAGAGCCAGGGGCCAGGCTGTGGTTTGGGACCCTCACTGTCTCCGCCTGGCCACACCGGGCCGGGCCTGGGTCTGGGTGGGGAGCCCGCAGCACGGCCGTGGTGCACACAGGCAGCTTTTACAGCCGTGAACACCTGAGCACAAGCCCGCGTGTGGGTGTGTCTGACAACTTCTGTCCCCAGCTGGGGCTGGGAAATGGGGACCCTGGTGCACAGCCCCACGAGGTTCATGGGAGCCCAGGGGCTGCCGTCCCAGTGGGATCTCATCCACCTCGGGGTGGGTGCCAGGCTGAGCCCCGGCCCTGGCCTCTGAAGACAGGAGCTCCCCGGGCCCGCGTGGCAGTGGGGGACACACGTGGTGCCGAGGTGGAGGGCCTGGCCAGGCTGCGCGGGAGCAGAGAGGCCCGAGTCCGTGTCTCGGTGAAGGCCCCGCGAGGCCGTGCGTGTCCGGCTGAGCCCGGAAGGGCTGGAGGTGTCTGGCGGAGCCCAGGCCGTGGGTGGGCAGCCGCCTGGGGACACCGGGAGGCCCGGCGCGAAGAAGCAGAGGAGAGCGGGGCTGGGCTGCGAGGAGGTGCCGTGGACGGGCTGGGAGGCCCGGATGCTGGCCAGTGGGAGTGGGGCGCGGGCTGCTGCAGGAGCGCGTGTAGGAGGAGCACGGCCCCTGGCAGCTTTACACACACAGCCAGGGCTGGAGCTCCTACGCCTGTGTGTCGGCAGGTTTCCTGCTGCGCAGAGTGGGGCGGCCTAGGGATCCGGGGAGCGGACAGGAGAGGCCTGCCTGGGGTGGGGACGTGCGCCTCGGGGGCCTGCAGCCTCTGGAGCTCGTGGGCCCGGACCCCGTTCTGCAGCGTCGGCCTGCTGTGGTCTGAGCAGGAGTCCAGAGTTGGCCCTCTGCCGGGGTGGCCTCCGAGGGCCTTTCGAGAGGAGGAAACGAGCTGGCTCTGCCGCCCACCCCCACCCGAGAGCAGGCAGGAGGGGACACCCTCGTGAGAGGTGAAGGCCCGGGCAAGCCCCACCCTTCAGTGTTGATTTAGAGGAATGGGAGGTCAGGAAGCAGGGCCGGAGAGACGGAGTCGGCCTGTTTTCCGGAGAGAAGTGATTCATGGGGCCTGGAGCCCTGAGGACCCTAACTCATGCAGGGGAGGAGGGATCCGCCCTTCATCTGGGACCCCTGACCGGAGGAGGCACATCCATCACAGCCGCCACCCCCACTCCCGCAGCCCGGCCTCCAGACCCGCCTTCCGCCCAGCCCCCCAGCCTGTACAGACCCTGCTGTGGCCCCCACATGCCCCCACGTAGGCGGCGCCGGCGGCGGCAATCTGTGCTTGGCGTGAGGTGTCCCAGGCCCGTCGCCCAAGGCAGGTGTGCGTGGACATGGTCTCCCTCCCGCCCCCCAGACTTTGCGGGGCTCCCCTTTGCGTCCTCTGTCCTGTGGGCGACCCGCTGACCCCAGAAAGGGGCTGGCCGAGGGCAGAGCCCTGAGTGGTGCGCAGCGTGGGCCTTGCCAAGCGCAGAGTGGACCCAGCAGGGCGCAGAGCTGCTGCTTCCTGGCGGGGTGGGGCCGTCCCGCTTCGTAGACGAGTTCTCAGTTCCCCAAAGGTGCAAATTCACAGGCGACCTCCCTGGTCTGAGTCCCCAGGGGCTCCAGGCCGAAGCCTGCGGGGTCTGTACGAGCCCTGTGTGCACAGCTTACCCTGGTCACCACAGGGTTCCCCGGAACCCCCACCCACCCCCACCCCCACACCACGGAGGAGCACAGGCTGGCCAGGGCAGGCAGCCCCCCTCTGGGTCCCAGGCTCACCTCCCTCCCAGGGCCCCGCACGCCAGCAGGGAGGGTGGGAGGGCTGGACAGGAGGGGCCGCAGGAAGGGCCGCGGGGTGGGTGGGGTTCAGGTTAGGAAGGCTGCCCTACCCCCGCCCAGGTGGCTTGGAGCCCTGAGAGGGGGCAGCGGGGTGGCCCGTCCCTCCCTTGGTCGTTACTGCCCCAAGGCTTAGGGTGGGAGAGGGCCCCAGCCTCGGGAGGGGTGGCCCCACTGTAGCAACCTGTGTCCCTGACACATGGGGGCCAGACAGGGGCTCCTGGGATCCCCGAGTGCCTGGCAAGACCCCTTTCTGACCACACAGCCTTTCCTGCAGAGGAAACTGTGCACGGACAACCTGGTGCGGGGCCGGGACCCAAGAGGCAGCCCAGATAGAGGGGTCTCCGCCCGTCAGCCCCCTGAACACCCCATTCCCTGCAGGCGTCTCCTGCTGGGAGCGGGGGGGGGCCCTGTGGACAGCGTGTGGACCCAGGCAGAGCACGCGGACAGCGCTGCCCCGCCCCGCCCCCTCCTGTGTGTTCATTTGTCGCCACACGGGTCTGCTGGCTTTGCAGGAGGGGACGCGAGGTCCAGGCAGTGCCACATTGCGCAGTGGGAAGAGGCAGGGCCGCGGGGGCGCAGGGCTCTGCTTGGAGCCGCGCTCCCGGTTCCTGTCTGGGTTACGGCGTCGGCAAGCCCGGCCCGTGGCCCGTGGGGCTGCATCCCAGACCCCTGGCAGCTCCCGGTGACAGCCGAGCTGCCTGAGTGGCTTGGGGCCTTCTCTGGCCACCGTCCCTCCGTGGGCATCTGGCTTTTCCCCTTCAGCGCCGGTAGCCCTGTCCCTGGGGTGGCTGCGCCTGCTCCGCACGGTGGTCCCACCTCCAAAGGCGTCACTGCTCAAGGCGATGGCTGCAGGTGACCAGCCCAGGAGCTGGTGCTGGGAGAGGCCCTGCTGGGCCTGGCCCCATGGGCACCTCCTAAAGCCCTCACCCTGCCCCACCCGGCCCCTGGGCCCCTCTGCCAGCACAGCCTCTGCAGCCTGAGCCTGAAGCCACGTGGAGGTCGCCCACCGTGCTGGGGCTCCCTGTCTGTGGCCTGTGTCCTCCGTGGGGCACTCCAGCCCAGGACGCGGCAGTTCCTCCTGAACTGGTCCTCGCGGTTCCCCAGCGCATAGAACAGAGGGGAGGGTGAGAAATGAGGCTCCCTGATGGGGCATTCTGGAGTAACTGTGATCTCGGGGCTCCTCTCCCCCACTGAGGTTCACGTGATTCTAAACTGCGTCAGCGGAGCGAGCTGCGAGCGGTGCGCAGACGGCTTGTGGACGCCACACTCCAAGTCAGCTCGGCCAGGCGGGAGAGCCGGGCTGCCGGGCTATTCTGGAGAGTTGGAAAGTGGCGCCAGGTTTGGTCTGGGTGGTCCCGGCCGCCCCCTGGCGCTCGCTGGCGCTGCCGGAGTGACCCAGCCCCTCCCTCTCGAGCGTGGGGCAGGGCAGCGCTGGCCTTGGGATGTTCCCGTCTGATTTTTAAACAGCTTTATTGAGACGGGGTCCACATACCGCACCATCCGCCCATTTCAAGTGTACGATTCAGCGGCGCGCGGTGTGTTCCCATAGTTCAGTGTCTGAGGTCACTGATTGGGGCACATTTCCTCACCCCAGACAGCAGCCCCGCACCCCGAGTTGTGCTTCCCAAGTCCCGGCAGCCACCGGCCCGCGTTCTGTTGCCATGGACTCGCCGCTTCTGGACGTCTCGTGTGGGTGGAACGGCACGGTTTGTCGCGTTGTGACCGGCTGGTCTCTGCGCACAGTGTCGTTCCGGCCCAGCCACGTCGGCCTGCGCCCACCTTGTTCCTTCTCACCGCCGCGTGCTGTCGCGCCGTGTGGACGGACCCGTGTATTGGCCGTCAGTGGGCACTGGGGTGGCCTCCCCTGGGCCGTGCTCGTTCCTCTCGGGTGGGGACTCTCCGCCTGCGGCACCAGTGTGCGGCTGCGCTGGCCGCCCCAGCAGGGAAGACTGTTCAGTCCCTCAGGCACCTGAAGGTGGCAGAGGGACGGGCCACCTCCTTGGAGGAACGGTCCCGTGTGAGGCGCAGGCGGGCTGGAGGAGGGCGCCGTCCTCAGCAGCCGGAAGCTGGGAGAGGAGCAGACAGGACCGGCTGTTCCGCATGGCCCTGGGGCTCGGCCGGGCCGGGCCTCAGGCGTTGGGGTCGGGGAGCCTCTGTTCCGTGAGGGGGGTGTGGGGGCCCCGGCCCCAGGGTCTCAGCGTGTCTCCTCCTTCCCCCAGTG